ATACATATATGTGTGTATACATATACACGTAGTAATATAAATACATAAAAATAGGTCTACAAAAACACATGGTGAAGTGCTAAAAGTAATACCTGTGGGGAAGAAAGACTTTTATATTGCTTAAATTTCAAAATAAAGTTATTATTTTGTAATTAAATGGGCTGTATGTTTGATTTAATGATGGGTAGCATTTATTGGGCACTGTAAACAATAAACTTTAAAATACATACCAAGTGTTGAAAAGAATAACTGAATAAGTTACTAAATATATCAAATGTTTCCTACCTCTCTAGGAATAATAAATTGGTCAATTTTTCCTTCAATGTCTTGAAGCTGGGCAGAAACTGGGGTCAGTTTGGCAGTCCGAACAGTTTCACAGAGTACATGCCGACAATACCTATTTAAAAAAATTTTTTTGAAGACGTTCATTTCGGGAGAGGCAGTTTGAAATGTACACACATTTAAAAAATGTCCTTCGTCAACTTCTCAAATCTTCCTAACATGAAATAGTCTCATCATAATTCTTGTCTTAAATATATGTTATATATTAGAGATATATAAATTCCAGGTGGATAAAGATTTAAACAAAGAAAAACACTTCTAAAAGTACCAGAACCAGAACATAACTCAAAATAATATTTTTACAATTTTTAATAGAAAAGTCCTTCATTTTTAGCATGACACATTGACAAAAAGCATAAAGAAAAATATAAATAATCTAACTACAAAAACATTTTGTTTATATATTTGTAAACATGAGAAAAATTAAAAGACAATTCGGAAAAATATTTTCAGTAAATATATCCTCAATGTATACAAGTACTTTTAAAAAAGAGCTATAAAAGCTTTTTTAAAAAAGGTAATACAAGCTCTTTCAAAGTAACTAAAATAATCAAATACCCCAATAGAAACATAGAAAATATAAAAAAGCAATTCAAGAAAAAATACAAATGGCCTGGAGATACATAAATGATACTCAGCCTAATTAACAATTTAAAGATTGTCAATCAAAGCATCTTTTTTTTATTTACCAGACTGGCAAAGATGAAAAAGAATGACAGCAGATATCACTAATAAAAGATGGAGGAAGGCCAGGCACAGTGGCTTACACTTGTAATCCCAGCACTTTGGGAAAGGCTGAGGCAAGAGGATTGCTTGAGGCCAGGAGTTCAAAACCAGCCTGGGCAACATAGGGAGACCCTGTCTCTATGAAAAATTTAAAATTAGCTGGGCATAGTGGTGCATACCTGTAGTCCTAATTACTTGGGAGGCTGAGGCAGGAGGATCAGTTGAAGCCCAGGAGTTTGAGGGCAGTGAGCTATGATTGTGCCATTGTGCTCCTCCAGTCTGGGTGACAAGAGTGAGACCTTGTCTCTTAAAGAAATATTTAAAAAACAAAAAAGATGGAGAAAAAGGGCCAGGTCCAGTGGCTCATGCCTGTAATCTCAGCACTTGGGAAGGCTGAGATGGGAGGATTGCCTGAGGCCAGGAGTTTGAGTAGGCTGAAAACATAGTGAGACCTCTGCCTCCACAAAAAATAAAAAATTAGCCAGGTGTGACGGCACATGCCTGTAGTCCCAGCTATTTGGGAGGCTGAGGCAGGAAGATCACCTGAGCTCAGGAGTTTGAGGTTGCAGTGAGCTATGATTTCACCATTGTACTCCAGTCTGGGCAACAGAATGAGACCCTGTCTCAAAAAGAAAAAAATAAAACGGAGAAAAAAGACATTGTCATATCTAGTTGGTGGAAGTATAAATTGGTACAACCCTTCTTTTTTTTTTAATAGTACATTTTTATTTCTTATTCTGTAATAAAGATTGCATTCTACTCTACATGGAAGTTAATTTGGAGAATTCCTTGTCATACAGTGGACCTTTGTTGGTACAACCTTTCTTCTTCTTTTTTTTTTTTTTTGTGGGGAGTGGGTAAGGCATAGGCAGTAAGCCTGGTACCCTAGCCACGCCCCGGTACAACCTTTCTGAAGCATAATTTGGCAATATATATCAAACTATTAAGTGTGTATCACAATGAGAAGAATAAAAGCTGAAATGTACTGTAATCTTGCCATGAGTCAGTGCACTTAAATACTTTATATGCACTCATTTCATCTTTACAAGAATCCCATGGATGCATTATTCTAATTTTGTATATCAAAATTAGAGGCAATTGTTTAAGATCACACAGCAGGTAAATGGTGTTGACAGGATTGAAACCCATGCTTGTCATACTCCTCATTCCCCCATCTTAACCACTGTCCCACTGCATATACCTTAAACTATATGCTCACGTCTATGACCTTATTTTACAGAAACAATTGGAAATATCAGCAAAGATGTAAGCATAGAAATGCTGATTGTTTATAATGTCAAAAAACAACAAAAACAAAAGGGGAAACATCCTTCCTTCCTTTCCTCTGAACAAATATTTACTGGGTAACTACTATATTTGAAGCACTGTGCTAGATACTAAGCTACAATAGTGAACAAGACAGATATCATCAAAGGAATTCAGAATCTAGTTGGCAGGGGAAGGGAAAGTGGAGAGGACATAAAGGATGAACAAGTAAAAAAGCACAGTAAATGTTATGATAAAGGAAATTCAGGGTATTATGGGAACACATGGCATGAGCACCTAATCTAGGGAGAGGGCTTTGTAGAGAAACAGACACCTAGGCTGAGACCTGCCCCCTGCAAAAGAAAAAAACCAAAAAACACCAAAATTGAAGTTAGCTAGAGGAGAGAGGAAAAGAGAATCCATACAGAGGAATAGTCTGTGCAAAAGCTAGGAAATAACAAAGAGTGCTGTACCTTCAAAGAAACAAAAGACATTCAGTATAGCTGAATCCACGGCTATGAACAGGTACAAGTAATGAGAGATAAGCTGGGAGAGGTATGTAAGGCCCAGCTTTTGAAATGCCTCACAAGCTATGTTAGGAGTTTAAACTTTATCTTAAGAGTAACCTGAAGCCACTAAAGGATTTTAAATTGGGGAGTTACCTAATCAGATGTGACTCTCCAGATGTAGAAAGATCACTAGCTCAGTGATTCCCAACTTTCGATACACATTAGAATCATCTGAGAAGCTTCTGAAAACTGCTGATGCTCAGAGATTGTGAATCAATTGGTTTGGGGTTGGTCTTAGGTAGCTGTATTTTTAAAGCACCCTAAATGATTGCAGTGTGCAGCCCAGGGCTCCAACAGCAATTTGGAGAATGGATTGGAGAGGAGCAAGATCCAAGGCTACTGAAGTATCTTAGTTAAGGTGACTGATGGTAATCTGAACTAGAGTGGGGGCAATGGCAATGGATAGAACTAAAAGGCTTGAAAAAATTCACTGGAAATTAGAATCAATAGAACTTGATCATTGATTGGATGTAATGAAGTCACTACATATGAGAATACTATCCACAAAATATTTACAGAAAAAAAATTGAATTTTCAGAAGTTATGTCTTATATTTTAAAATGTTTTTTA